AAAAAAAAAAAAAAAAAGAATAGAAAAAGAAAAGGTTCAGCAAGGCCAGCTCTTCTCTGCACTGCAGGAGGGACTATAAATTGGATGGTTTATCTAAGGTCAAATTGACAACATGCATAACACAACATCCCACACGATCTACTCATTTCTTTTCTAAGGATTTACTCTAAGTGATCTGAGACCTGCATCATGTGTTTGTATACAATAGTGTGTCTCAAAGTGTTTTAGAATAGAATCCACATCAATGTCAACGTTGTAAAGGGTTAAGTAAATCACATGCGTGTGATGGAATACAATTCATCCATGAACATTAAGCACCTGAGGGGCTTTCATTATGCTGGAAGAAGTAAAACCCAGGGTTAAGTGATGCACTTTAGGTTCACATTTCTTGGCTTAGAACTCTTTCCCAAATCCTTGCAAGCTGTGTAATGTGGAGAAATCATTTAACCTACCTATGCCTCAGTTTCTTATCTGTAAAAGGGGGACATAGTGGTAATTGTAATGTCAAAATGAAATAATTCATTTGGCAGGCTTAGCACCATGCATGGTGTCCAGCAAATGTTAGTATTAAGCAAGTTACTTAACAGGTGGGACTCCGTTTCCGCCTCTGTAGAATGGGAATGACAGTAGCTTCTACCTCGGAAGGATGTTGGTGAAGCTGAAATGAGTTATTCTGCAGAAAGCGCGTGGCATGGACCTAGCGCACAGCAACCACCGGGTAAGCGGCTGCTGCTGTTGGTGCTGCAAGTGTCGGGAAATGTTCACAGGATACCAGGTACCTAGTAGAATACTCAGGCTGTTCAAAAATTCACATGCTGACATGCACATAGGCAAGAAGATATGCGTCAAAGTAACAATCTCTGAGTAGAAAGATTATAAGCAATTTTTTTGTGTAATTTTTTGTATTCTTCCAACATTCATTTTCAACAATGAATACATTACTTTAATAATTTAAAAAGCAAACAGCTATCTTAGACTTGAAACATTTTCAATGTCAGCCTCGCCCATGGTGAATCAAAACTGTTGAGTCCCCTGAACTTCCTTCCAGTTAATGGTTTTTTCCCTATTATATGGCCCTAGTCTCCGATCATTCAGAGGTAGTAGCTTAATATTTCCGCACATTAAGCTGAATAGCAGTGTTCTTCAGATACTTTCTTTTGGTTGTGTTAGAACTGTGATTCTAAACTCTGGAGGCGTGCTAGAGTCATTTGGGAGATTTTGAAATATACTGGCTCCTCATTAGACCAGTTACATCCAAATATTTGGAGATGGGCCCTGGGCATTGGTATCTTTTAAAGACTCACAAGGAAATCCTAATGTGTGGCCCAGTAGTGAACAGCACCCTGCATTTGATACTACCATTTCCTGCCTTGCAGAGAGTTTCGCGCCATGAACCGGGCTGCCCTCTTCCCCTAATGTGAGTCCTAACAGTGCTTCCCAAAGTTGAGGATAAGAATCCTCTGAAGTGTTTATTAAAAATACAGATAGGACCCAGTGCAGTGGCTCACTCCTATAATCCCAGCACTTTGGGAGGCTGAGGTGGGAGGATGATTTGAGGTCAGGAGTTCAAGACCAGCCTGGTCAACATCATGAAACCCTGTCTCTACTAAAAATACAACAGTTAGCTGGATGTAGTGGCAGGCGCCTATAATCCCAGCTACTCGGGAGGCTGAGGCACAAGAATCGCTTGCACCCAAGAGGCAGAGTTTACAGTGAGCTGAGATTGTGCCACTGCACTCCAACCTGGGCAATAGAGTGATACTCAAGTCTCAAAAAAAAAAAAAATACAGATGGGCCAGGCATGGTGCTTCATGTCTGTAATCCCAACACATTAGGAGGCTAAGGTAGGAGGATTTCATGAGGCCAGGAGATCGAGGCCAGACTGGACAACATAGCAAGACCCCATTTCCACAAAAACATTTTAAAAACTAGCAAGGCATGGTCATGTGCCTGTATTCAGTCCCAACTACTTGGGAGGCTGAAGTGGAAAGATTGCTTGAGCCCAGGAGTTAGAGGCTGTGGTGAGCCATGTTTACACCACTGCACCCAGCCAGATTGATAGAGTGAGACCCTGTCTCAAAAACAAATATGTAAATAAAAATATAAATACAAATGCATGGGTCCTAACCCAGACCTGCCAAATGTGAACTTTCAGAGGGAGAAACTTGGTCATGTGTATATTTTATAAGCCCGCTGGGTAATGCTTCCCATCAGAGAGATGGGGGACTCTGCAAGAGACATCTTTCTCAGTCTTGGCTGCATGCTGGGAATCCCTGGGGACACTTGGAGAAGCTCAGATGCCTGGCCGCCTCCCCCACATTTACCACCCACATATCTAAGATTGTAATGTAATGTGTCCAGGATCCTGCCTGGCATCTGGGTTTTCGAAGTCCTCCTGGATTCTAATCTGCAGTCAAGATGAGCAGCCACCAGCAATGATGGTTCCCAAAGTAAGGCCCTGGGACCAGCAGCCTCAGCATCACCTGGGAACTTGCAGATTACAGAGCCCCCACCCAGACCTGCCAGATGAGAAGCTGGGGGTGGGACCCAGCGATCTGTGTCTCGCCAGCTCCAGGACTTGGTGACTCTGATTCTCGCTAGAATTTCAGAACCGCTGCCGAAAAGCAATGTTGTTAAAAGCAGGTTCCCAGATTGCCTCCCAGAGATTGCACAGGATGTCTGGACTGAGCCGGGACTGCGCTCCAAGTGGTCCAGGACCACACCTTGAGAAGCACTGCTGCAGGCTTAAACCTTATTCCCTTGGGCATCTCTCTTCTCACGAGGCAGGGTCTCACTCTGTTGCCTGTGCTGGAATGCAGTGGCGTGATCACAGCTCACTGCAGCCTCGAACTCCTGGGCTCAAGCAGTTCTCCCTCATCCTCTGGAGTTGCTGAGACAGGTAGGCACTACCAAGCCAGGCTGATTTTTAAATTTTACGTCGAGACAGGGTCTTACTGTTGCGCAGGCTGTTCTTGGACTCCTGGCCTCAAGACAGTCTCCCACCTTGGCCTCCCTTAGTGTTGGGATTACAGGCATGAGCCACGGTGCCTGGTCCCCCACTTGGGCATTTTAAAGTTTATAAGGACGTTGGCATCTCTGGAGTACACCCAACATCCGTGTATTCTTATGGGCCGCCCACTGCTGCCCCTTCTTGGCCCTTGATGCCAAAACACATGGCTGTCTTCCAACCATAATTAATGGGATATGTTTTCTTTAAAGCTGGCAAGTACTGTGGCTGGGAACCAAGTTTTCAAAGTTGCTGGCCTGAGTTTGACTTTGAACGCCAGTCATAGAAGCCGATGAAGCCATGTTCCTTCTGTGCCTAACGTCTGTGCCTCTTTGCTTTGTAGGTTTTCTAATCATCCCAACTCAGCCTCAGCATGGTCCTCTCATCCCCCGACTGCTAATGATCAAGCCCAGAGGAGAAGAGGACGGCAGGCAGCCAGGAGCCAGAAGCCGAGGGGTCGTGAAGACCTGGAGGCCAGAGGCATGGCCCAAGCCCACGGCCTGCCTGTCCATATGAGGGAGGGTCCATGGGAAGGTGGAGGAAGGTCAGAGCATGCGATGAAGAAGGCAGTTTGGGAAGAAGAATTGAGAATGTCGGCTCCTGCCAAGTGGCAGAACGTCAGCCTGGAAAGCCGGAGCCAGCCACGTAAACTAGGGAGGCAGATGTCTGATGGGGATGGGGAGAGACTGTTTCAAGACCTGTACCCATTCATTCAAGGAGAACACGTGTTGAATTCTCAGAACAAAGGGAAATCCCGCTCACTGCCTAAAGTTCTTTCCCCCGAGGGCCTGGGTTGCACGGAAATTCCCATTCCGTTACATGACAGGCATTCACCTAAATTGCCACCGTATCTTCCCACTCATGCACCAAATCTGGACTCCACGAGGAATTCTGAGAAGGGTGGCTGCCCGGCCCCATTTCCCCGGCCTAAGTTTGGGAGGCCCCTGAAGCCCCCATCTTATGGCTTACACCAGCAATCTAGGGGAGGAGCAGACAGCAGTGACTCTCAGGACAGCCAGCAGATGGATGCCTATGTCCCCAGGCACGAGCTCTGCCTGTCGGACCCAGGGTTGGAACCTCCAGTGTATGTGCCTCCGCCCTCATACAGGTCACCCCCACAGAACATCCCAAACCCCTACTTAGAAGACACGGCGCCCGTAAATGTGTGTGGCGGTCACAGCCAGCAGCAGTCTCCGACCGAGAAGGCCGGGGCCAGCGGTCAGCCTCCTTCAGGCCCCCCTGAAATTGGAAATGAGTATGGTGCCAGCCCCCGCTCGCCTCAGGAGCTCCCTGGACACCCCCGGCCTGTCACTGCCTACGACGGCTTCGTTCAGTACATTCCCTTTGATGACCCACGGTTACGACATTTTAAACTAGCTCAGCCCCAGGGTTTCTGTGAAGATATAAAACTTGACGATAAATCATATAACTCCAGTCCTGTCACTGCCCAAGAGCCGGCTCATGGAGGAACGCAGGCTGATGGTGCTACCTGGAACCCACAGAGCCTGATACCCCCATCAGGGGATGAAAGGGGCCTGGTCTCGGCCAATCCCAGCCCCCGGTGGCTGTGGGGCCAGCTCCCTGGGGAAGGGGAAAACAGTGGCCTCCCCAGCCAGAGAGACCGCTGTGTGGCAAGGGGACAGCGGCCTGACGTGAGAGGCAGCCAGCACGGTCACACCAGAAGGCAAGTTTCCTCCCCATACTCCCTGGGCGAGAGCACCTGTGAAACTCAAACCAAGCTCAAAAAGTTCGAAACTGGGAGTCGCACCAAGAAAAGTTCAAAGAAAAGAATGAACGAGACTATATTTTGTTTGGTTTCTATCCCAGTGAAATCAGAATCACATCTGCCAGATAGAGATATGGACAACAATGACTTAAAGCCCAGCGCCGATCAAAAGAATGGGTCTGATAAGAGCCCAGCTCTGCAAGAACAGAGCCTGCTGAGCATGTCTTCCACCGACCTAGAGCTGCAGGCCCTCACAGGAAGCATGGGGGGGCGAACAGAGTTCCAAAAACAGGACCTGGGGGAACCAGAAGACAGCCAAACAA